GGTGCGGAGGATTATCCCGGCGGGAATGATGGAGGGCCGGGGGAGCCGGGATGACGCTGCCCCGTGGGGGGACCGCCGGTCCGGGGCGATCCTGCCCCCACATTCGCTCTGCGCCCCGGTATTGTTTAAGCTTTAGTATTTAAGACTTCCTCCTCCTCTACCATTCTGCAACTGTGCTTGAAACCTTTCCCAGATGTTTGCCAGATATTATGGCAAAAGAGACAGCAAGGGTGATCTACAAGAGGGTGGAGAACAGAGGTTGATGCTCTTTACCTGCTTCTCTCTTAAAGCTTCCCTGAGGAGGACATCAGTTCTGGAAAATTCATACAAAACAAAAGACAATAACCAAATCCACCACCAGGGCTGCTGGAAAGCTGCTGCTCTTGCTGTTTTACTGGTTATGGGACCTTCAGGGAAAGGTCATTTAACCCTGTGACTCAAACTCCACAGTTGTTGATCCTAAACTGGCTCCAGTCTTACTTCACACTCTCCCTCTTTCTCCAGCATTACCTTTCCCACAACCAGCAGGTAAGGCCCAGTGACACCACACAGCTCCTATGGATGAGGAGCTGTACCTGGTACTGAGAAGCAAAAGCAGAAACATTTTTTCCCCTTTACCTACTACTGTTAGATTGAGAGTTTTGAGATCAAAGAACCTACAGCTGTCCTGATTGCTTTTGAAAAAGCACATCTCAAACAGCACTTGACTCCTGAGCCCAGCAACCGCCCTTACAGCCCCAGGTCTTGTCCCAAGCCATGTCTTGCAGTCCAGCCCTCTCCTGTGGTCTCTCCCCGTGCCACTGAGGTTTCAAAGTCCTTGGTGTAATTGCACAAGTGCACACTCACCTGTTCTGCACTGGAAGCTGTTCCTGCTCTCCTGAAGGGCCCCAGGATGATCCCAGCTCCTCTCCAACAAGTCCTGCTTTCAGGCGTGTCAGTGCAGGGTCTGCCACATCAGTACCTCACTGAACAGCCCTGTCAGCTCACCTCGAGCTCTGAACACACCCCCTGTCAGCTCACCTCGAGCTCTGCGGCTGCCCCCCGGTGCTGCCCTCTTGTATTTCCAGACCGAAAGACAAAGGAAGGGTTACAGTGAAAATCCAGGGAATGCTGCAAAGACAGATGTTCCTGGAAAACACTACTATCTTCTTTAGCTCAATCATTGTTGATTCAGCTGCAAACTAGTCTCCATTTTGTTCCCATCTCTGCATTCACACTGCAGAGGTCTTCTGATTATTGCGCAAGTTGCCTCCCTTTTAAATCCTTCATTTAATACAGGAGATGAACAGCTCACCAACCCACACTGACAGTGTCAGACCACAAAGGAAACCCCGTCACCTGCACTAGCAGTTTCTGCCTGTGGCAGGTGAGCAGCTTGCACATGAACTGTGAGCCTGCTGCCAAAACCACAGTGCAAATGTACCCTCCCCAGCCACTGCTGCATTGGGAAAAAAATTATGTAGAGCACAAGTATTGCTGATTTCAGCAAAGCTCAACCCTGTGCAGGTCCCATGGCTCTCTGTAACCAGGCCCCAGGTTAGTGTTTCTCACTGCAGTGTCCCCAGGGACAGGGGACTGAGCCTGCCCAAGGCTCAGAGCTGCTCTGTCAGAGCAGCAGCCTGGGCAATGAGAGCAGCAGAGCTGGGCTCTGAAGTACAACTTACAGAGAGAATTAGGCCAGAACCAGGAAAAACTCCACTTGAAAAACAAAGGCAACTACTGTTCAAAATCCACTGTTAGGTGTCACTCGTGCCAAAGTGCAGCACGAGGCAGCAGAGAGGGTCACGAGCAGCTTTAGGAGCTGCAGCCTGAGGCAGCCCAAGGACAAAGCCTGCAGGGAGAAGGGCACTTTGCCATGGTAGGATCCTCCTATGAGCCACAGCATAAGGGGCAGCCTCAGCTGCACCAGTGCAGACTGGAACGAATACACTACACTCCAAACTGGCAAAATCCGCATTTAATTTACAACATAGTAAAGGTTACAGTTAAAAAGCTCAACAGAAGTGTGAAAAGGCCTATTACATATTACACAAGTGTACAAACGTCTGTACAAAGCCCCTGGATGTTCCTGTCCCCTCCTGGCCAGCCGTGGCCCCTAAGCTCTGAAATAACGAGAGCTGGTTCAGAGCCAGGGAGGAGAAGAGCTTTAAAAAACAATGAGCAGTGAAGCTTCCCTTGTCAAGAAAAATCTTGCAAAGAGCCACTTGCAAAGAAACCAAAACCACCCCCCCAACAGACAAAAAAACCCCAAAATAAAACAGAAAAAGAAGAAAACTTGTTCAACTTTTGTTTGCCCTGACTATTCTTATCCTAAGAGTTGCCTTCAGAAAGCAACTGAGTGGGAAACGAAAATCCTACAGGCCAGACTAAAGGGAGAAAGATTTGGAGAGTCATTGTGGGAGTGCTGGGAAGCAGAACAATGTCCGAGGGCTGAATCATCAATGGCAACTAAACACAGAACAGCACAGTTGGATCAAAGAGCAGGTGCTGAACCACCCATGGAACAGTGTGAGCTGGACAGATGGTGCAAGGAGGGAACGGAGCAGTCTCTGAATCCATCGCTCTCGTGAGTGGGGCAGCTTTACCTCAGGGACACGATAGAAGCAATCACGGAGCAGAACTCACTTGGATTTTGGAGCATCTGCCCAAAAGGGTCTGGTGCATTTAGCACTCCCTGCACTGGAACACAGCCCTGATCCAGCACCCCAGCACTACTTCACCAGGCAGCCACAGTCCTGCACACAGTGAGCAGGCTCTCATTTTGGTGCACATTTTCTGGATCCCCCAAACAACAAAGGAATGTGACTTATAGCTGAACTGCACTAGGGAGTTTACAAAAACCCCAGAGCAAACCGAAGAATAAGAGAGCTCTGGCCTTACCTTGTGTAAAGTACAGCCACAGTGTCTGGACATGTGAATCATTTTCAAATCTAAGCCCACAGATCTGAAGGGCTGGAGCAACAACCCATCAAGCTTCTCATTTTATTCAATGGGAAAAGGTGATGAAGGAATCAAAAAATGTGGTATTATGAAACCAGCTTGTGCACTGCTTTATTATCTCTACTGAGAATTCCTATTCTGGATCTCAGTAGCACTTGATCTTCACCTGCTGTTCCCAGCAGCCAAAATATTTCCAGATTGGGGGTTTAGGTGTGGAAGGGAACCAGTCCTCTGGCTCTGCTGACAACTGCTCAGCTTTGTGTCCTGTTGCATCTCATATACGCTAAAAGTTCCATTTGCAAATAAAAATTACACTAAGTTACAAGGGCCACCAAATGTAAAAGAAACTGTTCCCTGTGTTAACCTCACCCTGAGTTATCCCAGGGGAGTCACCAGGGCTGTTGGCACCACAGCACAGTGCCTGTCTCCCCATCAGACACTCTGACCTGTGCACCCAGTACCCATCTCACAGCCCCCACCCTGCAGCACTGGAACAAAGCTAAGGAACCCACCTACTGCTTGTCCATCTTAACTTACGACTCATGGGATGCTCTAGTGTTTTACATGGAAATTAAAACAAGCTGTAGGCAAACTAAAAATAATAATAATAAAAAGAGAATGCCCCACATAGGTGGGTTTTGAAAATATAAAAAATAAAAGCTGACCTATATTCTGCAAGTTTTACAACTCCTACCCATGGGACTCTGCAAGGCTTGGCCCCAGAAACATTTTGCTGTGAGCATGTCCAGCAGGAACAGTGTCACCCACAGCGAGCCCGTCACCAAAACACACGGATCTGCAGGGCCACGCCATAAGTGATAATGGAACTGTGTGACTGCCTCTTTGACTGGCGGACCCAAACTCAGTGTAAAGATCTCTGGGACAGTGGTGGCTAAGAAAAGGCTGCAGGGATTTTGGTTCAAAAGGAGCCGGGAGTTGTATATTTTTTTTTTAAACAGACATATAAAAATGTTTGAAGACAGATCTTTAAAGGATATTTCACTTCTCCAATCTCGGTATTACATCTGTTAGACACTGAAAGTTTAAAAAGACGCACATGAAGAGTTTGTGGAGTTGGTGACTCCCACCCTCCCTCAGCCCAGCTCAGATCAGCAGGGACGGGGTCGGTTTCTTGCCCGGCCAGGCCTCCTTGGCATATTTCTTCTTCTTGGGTTCATTCACAGCTTCGGGGTTGAAGACGGCCGGGTTTGGAGCCGGGTTCATGTTCACTGTGGAGGGCACAACTGGAGTCAAGTCCACGTCGGGGGCGAGGTTGGGGTAGGGCATGGGCAGCCCCCCGATGAGCGCGGTGCCGTGCACGCCGTGCGACTGCGGCCCCGCCTCGCTGTGGGTGGGGGGCAGCCCCCCGTACAAGCCCCCGCTGTAGGGGAAGTTCTGCATGCGCCGGGACGTGGAGTCCTCCGGGGGCAGCGAGCCCGTGTTCTCCAGACGCTTCTTCTGCAGGCACAAGAATTGAAAGAATTATTGTAAAGGCATGAGACCATCAAGCTCTTCAAACTCGATGCCAAGGCTATTTCCCCCCAAAAAGGCATCTAAATCTGCCACATACAAAGTTCCTACAGACAATGTCCCACAAGTTTTCTTCTAGGTTTCCCTGACAACCACAATCATAAACTCTTAAAGATGCACAGTGCAGGAAGGGTGACAGAAGCTGAAGCTCAGGTGTAACTCAGATGAAGCCTGAGCACCTTTTCACCTCCTCTATACTCCTGCCAGTCTTGAGCTTGTCCTGAACGAAGACTGAGTAAGTCTTTAGCCAGCAGACTCATAGAATGTCCTGGGTTGGAAGGGACCCACAAGGATCATCCAGTCCAACTCCTGGCCCGGCACAGGACACCCCAACAATCCCGCCACGTGCCTGAGAGTATTATAACACAAACCCGCCCTCCCCCACAGAAAGAAACTGCAACTTCGAGATCATTTGGGTAATTCTGCTCCTGATCACTGGAATCTTCTCCAGCAGTCTGGGCTTATGGAAAAGTATCCTTCTCCATGTGATGTTATTTAGTCTATACCAGCAACAAGTGGAACTGCTGTTACACAGTGGCTTAGCTGCTCTGAAGCTTTGCAGATCTTCCCTCCTCTTCACATATTCCAATTAAATAGAGCACTGTTGGCAGACGCTCATCTTGGAGCAAAGCCTTAACCTGCTTGTTCTAGTACACAACCTTATGAAACCTTTAGCACTCAGTATTTAAACAAACAACCTCTTTTTTTTACCTTCTATTTTCCACACTTCCCACAATTTTAACTGATGTCTGGAAATAATGCATCGAATTTCTGTAAACTGTTTGTTTTTGGGAGGAAAAAAAAAATCACCACTGATCCCATGTGTTATTGAGGAAAAGAGCTAAACCTGGGTTTGAAGGGAAATGGTCAAATTTGCAAAAAAAGACAATTGTGAAACACAGACATCACTTTTGCCTAACAATGAAGCACTTGCCACTTTGGAACATTCTGTTTCTAAGGTGCAATTCATACAGTGAGTTCATCAATGTAAGGTGTTAATGAGGAACGTGGGAGTCACTCCGTACCTTCACAGGGACCACTGCTGTCTGTACCATGTTCCGGAACCGCCCCACAGACGGGTCCACGTCCTCTGCAAAGCAAGAACAGCGATGCCTTCAGTGAGGACACGGGCAAAACAGAATCCACGTGGGAAACCAGAACACAGACCTTCTCCTCCCAAAGCCAGCACTTCAGCACTTCCCAGTGAGCACAAGTGTGACCAAACAAAGAATGGGGCTCAGGGGACACCCAGTGGCTTTGTCTCCAGGTGGCTCACCAGGCATCTTGGTAAGGAATGCTTTTCCTCAAGTGAAGAATGGGAAGGGGAGCAGCTGGATGAGCAGTTTGGGATCACACAGGCTGCAGTTTGGGCTGAAAGCTGCTGCTGACAAGGCACTGCACATGCTAAAGGCACAGCAGCCAGTCTCCAAAGTCCTTGGGGGGCCTTGAAGGAGTAGTCAGAAGCAGTCAATGTAAGTTCCTGAAAGTCTGGAAAAATTATCTTTTTTTTTTGCAATGTGAATGACTGGCATTTGCATTAGGATGTTCTGAGCACTGAACTGCATCACCTTATAAATCAAAATGGTCACTCTGGGTGCTCTACTGTGCCAATGGAACCACCTCCAGACCATATTTCAAAATGCTGGCTCATTAATTAGCTACTCTTATTAACAGGAATACTATCCATATAAAGTATCATTGACAGGAATGCCATTAATACAGAACAGCTAAAGGAGAAAAAAAAGACTAATTCGGAATTGGATGTGTTCAGATGCATCAGTTTGAATGAGGATGGAGGATGACTTGGTTCAGATGTGCAGACAAGTAGCAAAGACCCTCTGAGCTGGAGACAGATACCCTGGAGGCAACAGGTAAGTAAAGCATTAGGGGACAAAGAAAAACAAACAAGTTCCATTCCCATTTAGATTCTAAAGAAGGCAAAAAATGTTAACCTTCCTCCTTCTGGACCCATGACATTTTTCCAATATCTGACAAAATATTGAGCAATGAAGCTGAGTGTGATGTCCCCATCCTGCACAGACCACACAATTACTTTACAGGTACAACAGAAGAAACAAGAGAGAGGTCAAAGACTTCAGTGAGACATGTGGCAGCTTCTCTGAAACAGCTGATCCCAAATGTTGACTGCCTTATCCATATGCAGCCATGAGGAATCCCTATGAGAATATAAGAAGGAGGTCCTGAAGAGCATCAACTAAATATTAAAGCAAAGTCCTTACCCGGATTGATGATCTCATCGTCATCACTGAACGTCACTCTGGAGTTCTTCCGTTTCCTCTTTGGCCTCTGGATGTCCAAGTTCCCTTCCTCAATGGTCAGCGTGGAGATCCTCTTGTTGTGGGCTGTATTAAACTCTGTCAGGTTCTAATGGCAAATTTGGAGACGAAAGAGTTTAAGCAACTAGTGTATGAAATCTGATTTAGTCATGTGACTGTGCACATCAAAAGACCACTGTTTAGTTTCAACTTCAGACCCCAAGGAAGACGCAGAGCTTCGGGGCTGCAACGAGCTGCCCTGAGAGGCTGTGGGGTCTCTGCAGAGAGATTCAGAACTGAGCACGATCCTGGGCAGTCGCTCCAGCTGGCCCTGCTTGAGCTGGTTGATGATTCTAAGAGTTCCCTTCCAACATCCACAATCCTGTGAATGCCACAGACACTGCTTTCTCCCACAGGTATCTGACAATGGGAAAAATGTGGGAAACCACCCGACCTGAAGCATGTGTGCCCTGGCAAGCCTTAGTGAGATGACCACTGGGATATTAAGATTATTATGTCCCTGATTCTGGGAAGCAACATGATCACAGGTTTATCATGGCAGATGAGATGCTTTAGGTGTATCTGTCAGCAGAAACACCTCAGACTATCTTCACGACCAAGAAATTAAGAAACTGAACCTAAGGAAGTATTACCCAGGGAAGTAGTTCAGGCACCATCCCCGGAGGTATTTAAAACACATGTAGATGTGGCACTTAAGGACATGGTTTAGGGGTGGGCCTGTGTGAGGGACTGAAATGGTAATGTTCAATGGCGCAAACAATTGGCCATTTGCAAAAGCAGCAGGTGCTTTGCTGATGATGTGCAAGGGAACAGCTCAGGGGCAGAGGGGGTGAACATCCACCACCATAGGGGACAAGCTGGGCTTTGAGACAGTTAAGGGAACAGGCTGAAAAGCAGCACATCCTGTGAGGTGGGATAGTGCTTTTTATCATGGCAATGTCCTTCCTTACACAACTGGCTCAGGGGTGAAAACTCCCCTCCCTCTCCGGGGGAGATACTGGGACAAGATGACTGTAGCGCATAAGTTGGCAAGGCTGATCAGGAGGGCTTTAAACTAGGTTTGAAGGGGGAAGGGATTGAAACCAGGCTCTCCAGTGATCAGCCGAAGGACAGAAAACCTGAGTTAAGAACGAAATCAGCAGCCCACCTGAAGTGCATGTACACCAATGCACACAGCATGGGCAACAAACAAGAGGAGCTGGAAGCCATCGTGCAGCAGGAAAGCTCTGATGTAGTTGCCGTCACAGAAACATGGTGGGATGACTCATATGACTGGAGTGCAGCCATGGATGGCTACAGCTCTTCAGAAGGGACAGGCAAGGTAGGAGAGGTGGAGGGGTGGCTCTGTATGTTAGAGAGCCTCTTGACTCTTTAGAACTTGAAGTCAGTAACGATAAGGTTGAGTGCCTGTGGATCAGAATCAGGGGGAAGGCCAACAAGGCTGACATCCTGGTGGGAGTCTGTTACAGACCACCCAACCAGGATGATGAGGATGATGAATTTTTCTACAAGCAGCTGGCAGATGTCTCAAAATCGCCAGCCCTTGTTCTTGTGGGTGACTTTAACCTGCTGGATGTCTGCTGGGAACTCCACATGGCAGAGAAGAGGCAGTCTAGGAGATTCCTAGAGTGTATAGAAGACAATTTCCTGCTCCAGCTGGTAAATGAGCCTACCAGGGATGGGGCCCTGCTAGACCTGCTGTTCACAGAGAGGGGCTGGTGGGAGATGTGGTGGTCGGAGGCCGTCTGGGGCACAGTGACCATGAAATAATAGAATTCTCAATACTCAGGGATGCAAGAAGGGCCATCAATAAAACCTCTACGCTGGACTTCCAGAGGGCAGATTTCAGCCTGTTCAAGAGACTGGTTCAGAGGTTACCGTGGGAAACAGCCCTTGAAAACAAAGGGGTCCAGGAGAGATGGACATACTTCAAGAAGGAAGTCTTAAATGCACAAGAGCAGGCTGTCCCAGTCTGCCGAAAGGCAAGCCGGCAGGGAAGACAGCCAGCCTGGCTGAACAGGGAGATCTTGAGGGAAATTAGGATGAAAAAGAGAGCCTACCGATTATGGAAAAAAGGACTGGCTACTCAGGAAGAGTTCAGGAATTTAGTTAGGTCATGTAGAAAGAAAATCAGAGAGATGAAGGCAAGATTTGAACTCAATCTTGCCATTTCTGTTAAGGAAAATAAGTCTTTCTATAGATACATCAGTAGCAAAAAGAGGGACAAGGAAAACCTCCATTCTTTAGTGGACATGGGGGGCAACATAGTTATTAAAGATGAGGAAAAGGCTGAGGTATTTAACACCTTCTTTACCTCAGTCTTCAACAGTAGGACAGGTCTCTCTGAGGACAGCTGGCTTCTGGAGCACGTAGATAGGAATATGAAGCTGAACAGTCCCCCCGTAATCAAGGAGGAAACAATCAGCGACCTGCTGAGCCACTTGGATCCTCACAAGTCTATGGGACCAGATGGGATCCACCCAAGGGTGATGAGGGAGCTGGTGGAAGAGCTCGCCAAGCCGCTCTCCATCATTTACCAACAGTCCTGGCTCACTGGGGAGGTCCCAGATGATTGGAAGTTGGCAAATGTCACACCAATCCACAAAAAGGGCCAGAAGGAGGACCTAGGAAACTACAGGCCTGTCAGTCTGACCTCAGTGCCTGGCAAGGTTATGGAGCAGATCATCCTAAGTGCAATCACACAACACCTACACGATGGACAAGGGATCAGACCCAACCAGCACGGACTTAGGAAGGGCAGGTCCTGTCTGACCAACCTGATCTCCTTCTACGATCAGGTGACCCACCTGATGGATGAGGGGAAGGCTGTGGGTGTGGTCTATCTGGACTTCAGCAAAGCCTTTGACACTGTCTCCCATAATATACTCCTGAAAAAACTGGCAGCCCACGGCTTGGACAGGGGCACTCTGTGCTGGGTTAGGAACTGGCTGGAGGGCCGGGCCCAGAGAGTGCTGGTGAACGGGGCTGCATCCAGTTGGCAGCTGGTCACCAGTGGTGTTCCCCAGGGGTCTGTGTTGGGTCCAGTTCTGTTTAATATCTTTATCGATGATTTAGATGAGGGGATTGAGTCCATCCTTAGCAAATTCGCAGACGACACCAAGTTGGGAGGGAGTGTCGACCTGCTGGAAGGCAGGAGGGCTCTGCAGAGGGATCTGGATAGGTTGGAGAGCTGGGCTGATTCCAGTGGGATGAGGTTCAACAGGGCCAAGTGCCGGGTCCTGCACTTTGGCCACAACAGAGTGGCAGGAGAGCAGCCAGGCAGAAAGGGACCTGGGGGTGCTGATTGACAGGAGGCTGAACATGAGCCAACAGTGTGCCCAGGTGGCCAAGAAGGCCAATGGCATCCTGGCCTGTATCAGGAACAGTGTGGCCAGCAGGAGCAGGGAAGTGATTCTGCCCCTGTACTCAGCACTGGTGAGGCCTCACCTGGAGTACTGTGTCCAGTTCTGGGCCTCTCAGTTCAGGAAAGATGTTGAGGTGCTGGAGCAGGTCCAGAGAAGGGCATTGAGGCTGGTGAAGGGACTTGAACACAAGTCCTACGAGGAAAGGCTGAGGGAGCTGGGGTTGTTTAGCCTTGAGAAGAGAAGGCTCAGGGGAGACCTCATCGCTCTCTACAACTACCTGAGAGGAGGTTGTAGGTAGGTGGGGGGTTGGTCTCTTCTCCCAGGCAATCAGCAGCAGGACAAGAGGGCATGGTCTTAAGCTGTGCCAGGGGAGGTTTAGGTTAGATATTAGAAAGAAATTCTTTACAGAGAGGGTAATCAGCCATTGGAATGGGCTGCCCAGGGAAGTGGTGGATTCTCCGTCCCTGGAGGTTTTTAAGATGAGGGTGGATGTGGCACTTAGTGCCATGGTCTAGCAACTGTGGTGGTAGTGGATCAAGGGTTGGACTTGATGATCTCAGAGGTCCTTTGCAACCCATCTGATTCTATGATTCTATGATTTACACCTGGGCCTGAAGATTTTCATCCCTTCTGATGAGGCATTACTGGAGGCAGCTGTCATGTCTTGCAAGGTGTCATAAACCATCAAAGACCCCCAAAGTGCCCCCAGGAAGCTTTTCTGGGGCCTTCCACCAGAGGACTGTGCATGATCCACAGTGTTGCAACAGATCCACAGGCTTGCAACGGACAGTGTAAAACAAATCCCCCCCAGGGGAGTTACCTGGGCATTCCCATGTAAACCTAAGCCTATATTAACCCAATGGATTTTGTGTTTCAAGGGCTTCCCCCACCACCGACAGATCAAGTCTGTGACCATCACTTCAGCCAAAGGACATCAAAATTGCAACAATCAAGTTTCATCACTGGATCCATAGGTGGTGAGATCTTTCTGCTCTTATCCTTTCTATCTTTTTCTTATATATTTTCTTAAGTGTTATTTTTATGCTTTTATTTAGCTATATTACTATAGATAATAATAACCCAAACAGCTCCAGCCCCCCTTTCCATGGCAAACGAATTATTCTAAAATAAACCCTACATATATATGTATTTATAAACACCAGTCATTCGGTGTCATTTCACTCTAACCTGCCCCAAGGGATCTATTAACAAGAACCCTCGCCTACAGGGGTGAGTTGTAGCAGCTTGGCAGTGTCAGATTTATGGTTGGACTTGATGATCTTAAAGGTCTTTTCCAACCTAAATGATTCCACGACTTTAGGCAAACAAGCAGGGAATGCTGTCCTAGCTGGCAATGCCACTGAGGCACAGTGTGCCACCGTACTCACATCCAGTTCTGTCTCCTCCTCTGGCAGGCCCAGCAGCCCCTTGAGCTCCTCATCCTCACCACCCATCTTCTCATCCCCCTTCACCGCCGACGGCAGCGTCTGCGGCTTCTCGCGCAGGGTGTACGCGCGGGTGGAGGCTCCGAACGACACCGTGGAGTCGATGGGGATCTGCTGTGGTTTGTGGGCTTCCAGGCGGATGTGACCCAGGAACGTGCCATGTGCTGAGGGCGTCAAAATGCAAAATAGCCTGTTAGTCACCAGACTGGGCTCACGGTATTCCAGTTCCAGTTTGAGAATCTCAGAAACTGTAACAACTGTTCCGAGGTACAAGGCACTGAGGGACTGCTGAGAGCATCGGCTATGTACATTGTACCCATCATCTCACACACTGAGATAACACACACCAGAAGTCCTCAAAAAGTCATGGAAATCAATTACAAACACCCTTTACTTTCTGTATTCCTGCAGGTCCCAATGTACTATGTCTATGTCTATGTCTAGACAGCGGAAAAAACCACATGACAAGTTTCAGACCTTGGGAAACTACCCAAGAGAAGGATTTGCTAAAATTGTGAAGGCCAAGTCGCTTTCCTCCTCTCCTTTTGCCTCTTAAAGAATCTAGAAATGTTTTAAATAACCACTGAGGCAGATGTAAGCTGACAGGAGCAGACACTCCTTTGCTCTAACCCTTGCCCATCTTTCCTTAGGATGCAAATTCCGATTATATCCATCTGTCCACACAGTGCAAACAACAGCGGGAAAGGACAAAGTGTCTCAGATTCAGAATGTTTAAGCACTGAAATATTGCACTTCTGTCTGGTTAAATGCCACACTACTTACTGCTGTTCAGATCTATGAGGAAAACCCTCTTGAGATGTTTGTGATAGACCAAGGCAGCATGGACACGAGAGCAAGACTGGTGGTCAATGGTAAAATCGCACAGATCAGGATTTCTCCCAAAGAGATAGTATTTCTTCTCATCAATGATGAGTTTCTGAGTAGAATGTCAAACAGAGAAGCATATTAGACTCCTAGAATCTTTTGGATCTTCCTGAAAAAATTCAAGAACATGAATAAACAGAGCAAATTCAAAATGAAGCATCAACAGCTCATCAATATTTCAGTTTAGTCTGGTACTGTTAAATACAGAAACTCAAATCTGCTCTTTGTAAAATCAGAACAGATGAATGTGTGAGAGTCCCAGTTATTTCCTTCTTTACCAGCCAACACAAGACAGCCTCTTCAAATCATGAGATTCTCTATCACATCTGCACCCAAAGATTTTAACACATTCCTCGATTGCTGACCTTGGGCCCTGTCCAAGGCAGGAACCCACGCTCAGTGATCTCTGGTCTGATACTCAACATCAAAATTATACTTCTGTACAGAACTGGACCTGCAGGAGTTTCCAGACCTCTGGTATAAAGATGTAAAACTATACTGAATATGTGGTGTGACTGGAATACATATTAGTCTATTCAAGTAAACCATTAATTTTAGGCATTTCTTCTTTATTCATCCTAGTTCTAATCTTTTCTTCAAACAAGATCTTAGAAACCTTAATATAAGTTCCATAAACCATCTCTATAAAGTGAGGGACATGCTGACAAAGTCCTGCAGTATTTCCATTACCAGACCATGTTGCTGAGGGAACTTCTTGCACCTGAATGCTACAGTACCTGAGCACGGCAGGTGGAGAACCCTCTCCCTGCCTCCCAAGAACTTCATCTAATCTATATTTTCCTGCTCCAGCTGGACAAAGTAAAGGCTGGCAGTGCGTTACACATCTGTTAACAGGCTTCTCCTGCTTTTTGAAACATTTAACAAAGCCCACACGTTTCAACAGCATCATCAAAGGAATGCTGAGGATAAATTTTCCATCAGAAAACCTCATGAACCAGTCTGAGATGAACTAGCATTCTGCCTGCTTGAGCACATGGATTCCTCCCCCTCCCTCTGTTCCCAGCGCCTCTATCCTCTCCTCAGTCTCACTGCCACACATCTGAGCCAAGTTTTCAGGCTGCAAAGCCTTTTTTCCCTGTGTTAATCTTTCCCTGTGCCTTTGGTCAGATGGGTGTCCCAGCTGCTCCAGGGAAGCTGTGGGTTACAGCAGTAGGGTGGCTGATGCTGAGGATCCCCCTCTCTGGCAGCACCATTCCAGTCAGCATGTGTTTCCTCCTCAGTTCTGCCAGGTACAAATCACATGCTCAGCTACAAAAGCCAGTGTATCTGAGTACGTCCAGGTGGCTGCTCTGGGGCTTTTCAGACAGACTGACACAGCGACAACCCCGAGAGTTCCTCATTCTGTGGCACCACCAAGTCATAGAGAAAATAAGGAGACAGTTTGAATTAAGACACAGTATTTATACTCCTCTGCCTTATTTGCAAGGACAAAAATCCCATCATGGACCTCAGCTTCTACTACAGGTCACCTTGCAAAGTCGCATCTATTTACCTGCCCACCAACTATGAACTTCAAGGCTTTAGCACTGCTGCAGTCACGTCACTTCCCCACTGTTTTTTTCCCAATTTTTCCCCAAGGTTGCTCTATTTTCCAGGTTGGATTTTCCAGTGTTCTGCTGAACATCTGTCAGGCCCAACGCTGCAAGTTCTCACCATCTGGTATTCAGTAATAAGCATTTAATTTATTTCTGTATGTTTATTCACTCTTTTAGGTCACTCATCAGTCTCCTCAGTGATACACAAACTGGCAGAAAATCCACAAGAGTGCCAATACTTAGGCTTACACCATAAAAAGTTTTCTTTGTGAGTCCACATGTCATTTGATAAATCAGCAATCACAGCTTAATTGGCAATTCACCTGCAACTACATGGTCTCATGACAAATGAGGTGCAAATGCAAAATGTAAGTGATTTTCCTCCAGCTGGGACATGTAAAACATGCAGGCATCTCCCCTGAATCTATCTGTGTTTGGTGCAGAGCAACACACCTCAAAGCCTCAGTGTAATAATTTGAATAAGATTAAAAACATGAGAAATCACTATATTGAGTCTTCTGGGTTCTGCCCTGACCTGCACACTTTATCATCACTTTCTGTCTCTTTACAAATGCTGGTTTTCACAAGACTCCTCAGAGTTAACCAGAAAGTATAAGCCACTGATGAAGAGCTTAAATTAGTACATGGTCTCCTCCATCTTTTCTGGTTGAATTTTATTTTACTTTTTTTCTCCCACCGGTAAACAGATCCATCCACCTCCTCCCTGTACACTCTCCACACCAGTGTGCCCTTTCAAGGCTTTTCCCTGCAAGCCTTAACCATTGTTCCATGAGTCTTACTGATATCTTCTCTTGGGATCAGAGTTGTTTCATCCAGCTATTGATCCGAGAACACCATAACTGTTTGTTACAACACATCTTTTGAGGAAGCCTGGTTAGGTTCTCTGAGGATTCAGCTTCCCAGCATTGGATTTATGTCCCATATTCCACAGTTCCTTACTCATTTAGATCAGTACCTGACTCTTCCCATGCTCAACACCTTTGCACTAAGGAATTCTATGATTCCATGTTGTAAGAAAGACGAGCATTAACTTTTCCTTTCATTGTGAATTTGAAAAAAAGTCCTGTGTAAACACAGCCCTGATAAGAACAAGTGGATCTTCAGAAGCTGATTCATTCCTCCACAAATAGTGCTCAGCTCCACAAGCAGTTATCTCATGATTTCAAGTATCATAAAAATTGGCCAAACAATTTCTTATTTTTGCCCACAACCGACACCAAAAGCATCCTGTAAGTTTTCATTTGCACCTGTTACACACAAACACACAAACCTGTCCCTGACTGGACAGCACTTCGAGAGTTTTGCAAAGACACAAATTCATAAATTGGAAATACAACAAATTGCCATCAGAGAAAATAATTCTATTGACTTTACTTCAACATGTTTCCAAAATGTTCTGTGCCTCTGAGCTATAACCCAGTGTCTTCCTTCACACACTGAGCTTAAACACTGCATGGCTTGTTTTGCTGTTGCACTTTGCAGACCCAGCGATCACAGGGTGACCCTCAGGCCTCGGCACGAGGCTGGGACACTGATGGCTCGGTTAGTACCAAGTGCTCAGTAACCCACGGGATTTAACAGCTCTCTTCCTTGGCTACTGCTGTCTGCCATGACAGACAAAACTGGAGAACTCTTTGCCAGCTGTACCGAACAGGGAAACACGCGGATCACATCCAGGTGCTGCTCATTTGCTGCACAGTTCCCACGCACACACACAGGACCTTGTTTCAGGTAACCACCATAGACTAGAGGACTGAAGCCATCACCTACACACAGTGCAAGGCCCAAAGCAGCTGCACAAGCAGGTGTGTGGCATTGAGAAGGCTGAGCTCAGGAACAATCCTGCTGCAGCTCTCTGAGCTTGAACATGATTCTGAACACGTAACAGAGGCAGGAGAGGCAGAAAACATGGCCCAGGGTTCCAAGACAAGCACAATGCAAAGGGTTTGAGAGCCACAGTGTTGGTGAAGGAGAGTCCTGGAGTCCTGGTATGAACCAGCTCAGCCACATTCTGTAGGACAAAGGAGCTGCTCTGAATGTGCAGTACGTGTGTGCCAGTATCTATCTCCTTTCCAATGAATGTTGAACGAAGATCTCTCAGGTCAAGACTGGCTTTGCCAATTTCTTGTCTTTAAATCCAGAGTAACAGCACTCTCTCAAAACAGCAATGGACTATAAAGAAAAGCCTCATTTTACTGGTTTCTGGCCTGAGAAAACACAAGTTTATTTGTGAGACACCTATTTGTGACATCTCTATCTGCTTTCCTGTGCAAAGCATATACCGGTAACTCAACCAAATTCCAAACACTAAATCTGTGCTGCTAGACACCAGAAGGAACACTTAATACTGTCTCATGCTTCTGTGGTAGATTTTAAGCTACCTAAATCTTGATCTAACACTGCTTTCTTAATTTTCCAATTTTTGTTCAGAAAAGTTGGCTCAGCTTTGCAAAATTTTCCTGGCCAGAAAAATTTCTGTTCTAGCCAACTGCAAGTCAGGAGTCTCTCCGCAGCTAAAATACATTCACTGGTTTGGGTCGTCTCTGTCAACCCTGTTAGAAGCTTTCCTTTATTCATTAAGTGTGACATAAGACAAAATATGAAATAGAGAATGAGGCAGTGCATAACAGACAAATTCCTCTGCTGTAATAAAATTAACCTGCTGTATCTGTGATGTTCACAGATCCTGAATGTGGGAGGAAAAATCCAACTGTGTTTCATACTGTAGGACAGGGCAGCACTCCTACAAGATACAGGGTGCCTGGTTAACCTTACTATAAAATAAAAAATTATCTGACCAGACAGGTTTCTCAGAACAAGTGGTACAAAGGGAAGAGCTTTTACTTTTACTCTTCTGTATTTGAGATTTCTTGACCACATTATTCAATTCCTGCTCTTGAAGTTCCTGGGACAATGTACCTTCTGCTGCAGTGTGGCACCTCCTGTGCAAGTATCTTACAGGGAAGAAAATGTCAACTTTGGTCCAAAATGAAGTTTGGAAGAAATCAGGCTCTGCAAAGTATGGAGTCTCCCTTACAAACATTTTATTTTTTGTCTCTCTTACTAGGGCAGGTTTAATGTTCAATAATTGTGTCACTGCTTGCTGAGCCCTGCAGTGCTGTATCCCTTCAATCAGTGCAGTTAATTGGGAGATAAACGATGAAAGCCCTGCATGGCGCGAGGCTGCCTTAAAGCACAGGCAAGGGAAAAAAAGTCACTTCATTCTGAAGTTTCAGAGCAAAACAAACTGATTTGAAAATAATGAATACGAGAGAGAAAGGAAATACTTATGAGTAAGTGTGGAAAAATGCTGGGAAATGTTCTACTGCTGGTGCCTATGTACATGACACACCAAATCCATCAAACCCAATTTCCATACCTCAATGAGTTTGTCTCCTTTGACTACATCCAGGTGTAAGCCAGGTGGTGGTTTTCCTGCCCTGGAAAATAAAGAAAGGCAAAATATAGTATCAAAACATTTAATAAAAAGTTTATTAGTGTTGGAGCTAAAACTCTTTTTGAGCTCAGACCAAACCTACACAAATGTAAGCAGAAGTAATTTGGGGAAAATATGAAAATCCCATAATTTTCCTTCCTGCAGATTCCTTCTGAAAACACATAAACCAAGATTTTTTTATGGGAAGAGTGAAGGTAACAGGATGTGAGGCATTTCAAGCTTTACCTCTCCAGGTGGAAACCAGTTGATTTACACAAGAGAGCAGCTCCTGAGAGAACTTGATATAAGGCAGGAAGAGACTAACAGGTATAGAAGGAGGTAAGCTGGGACTGTTTGTTCAAGGGCTCTCTTTTCTCATGTCACCTTCAAAACAGCACATCTCTACCCTTGGCTTCTGAGGGGAACAGGAATTTCTACCACCCTTCCCCTCCACTACTGGTAACGGCAAAAACCCCCAAAAGGTCTCTGCACACTCTTGTAATATTATAAAGGTGTTGTCCAATTGCCAGAGTTCCTCCAGGCTCACCTGTGATCGCACAGAACAGACTCCAGTATCAGAGGGGCCCCACCAGGGGACAGCAGCACAATCCTCTCCCACCACATTCCACCCCAACAGCAGCTCAGCTCCCCCAGCCCTACAGCTCCTCCCTGCTCACCTCCTGAGGGTAGATTCACCTGTCAGCCAGCATTATTCCCACCTGGAAACACAGCACAGAGCCTGTGGGACTCAGCAGGGCACAGCAAGATGCCAGCACGTGGGAGAACCCACAGGGATCAGCAAAAGGGTACTGGGCATTTGCAGTGCTCAAACCCATGACACCCTCAGGGTACCAACACCCTGCCCTGCACCACACGGGATCTTTGGTGTTGGCAGCAAAGGCTCTTTTTCCACTCAGATCCCTCAAAGTCTGCATCTCTAGCACTTCCTCACGGATAACACTCTGCAGTTTGTCTCTGAGGCTGGACCAGCTTTCTGGGTAGGTAGCAGTAGCGACCCAGTTCTCAGCTGCACCACTGCCCTTCTGAGGAACTCCAGAGAGATCACATTCCCATTCTGCTCCCTGCATGGAGCCAGCCCAGGAAACAGTGTCAGTGGGCAGCCACGTTCTCAGGGTGGCTGGAGAAGAAAAAAAGGTAACTGGTAACTGAAGTTGTTTGAGGGGGTTAAATACAGATGTTCACATTTCTGGGATGTGCCTTAAAATGTGATGGTTTCTTCTGTGTCCCCAGGTCAGTTCTCCTCAGTAACTTAACACAATACAGTCTTCTGTTATTGCTACTTCATTTCTTTCCCAAGCAATATTGCTGCTCCCAATCCATTACATCAGCCTTCCCAGATCTCTCTGTCCCTTTCTGAATCTGTCAGTTGGGACTTGGACAAGTTTTCTTGCCAGGCCCTTTCTCTACGACTGTGGATATACCACCCTAATGAGTACATGGTTAATACTGATGGATGAACGAATGGCAGCAGCAAAAGCAGAGATTGCGAAGCTCCAGGACAATCTGCTGAAGTGGTGACTGCTTCTAGAAACAGGATTATGGTGGTGTGGGGGATAGACCAGTCAGGGAACTGCCTCCTCTTAAGCACTACTCAAGGATCTTACAGCCAGGCTACACCTGAGCACTGCTGTCTCCTCCTGTGCTCCCTGCAGATCTCAATGCTCAGTTTGCTCTGACAGACAGGTTCCTGTCACGGATTCGTGTCCACTTCTCACTATCTCCTCTTTCTGCCCTTGAGCACTGGAAAACTTGTTTTTCCCCAGTCCTCTGAAATTGCCAAGTTCTGGTTACTCTGCAACGCAACTTTTGATAATCTTCACAAGGCTGCCTTACTCTGATCAAACAACAGCTGCTTCCCCAACCTTTGTTTTTTCTTTCCACATAGGTAAACCTCTCAACAAAGTCATTCTACAGGTAACTCTACTTCTTATTCAGCCTGGCCTCTGCTTTTCCTTTCAGTGATCTCTTCCTGGATACTCAATGGTCATGTGTCTGTCCCAATACACATTTCAGCAACACCCTCCCTGTACCTGACAGGTCACAGGAGAGCTCCCAAGTGCTGTAGCACAACTATTGTCCTCTTCTGTAAGCTGACTCCTGCCTGACGGTCATCTTTTGCCATATATCAGCTCTGATTTTTCATTGCCACCTCTATTTTTTATTTAACCCTTGCTGTTATTTTTACTCTGCCTTTACCTTCAACTTATTTTGAACTCATAAAACAAGCCCAGTAGTAGCACAAGGCAGTGTCTTCAGCTATGAATTAAACTACTTGAAAAATGTATCTATTCTCTGGCTTCTTTCGGATTGAGAATCCTTTGTAGGCAGTATTTCCCCTATCTACCCATTCCTGCAAAACACTGAACACAGGAAGGCTGTAAATACTGATTATAATACCATGAAAACAAACTCACAGAAGTAATTTCTGTTAGAAAACACCTTTGGAACAGATTAAATCAATGTCACAGTTCAGGCCGCCCAACTTAAATACTTTAAAAGCCTTTTAATCAAAAAAAGTAGAAAGATTTTCCAGTTTTAAATTCTAAACTAATTAGTTCCAGAGTCACCAAAGATCAGAAGTAATGGCTGGATTTGGAACTATCAACCACCCCTCACATGCTCTGCCTTATCACACCTCTCACCTCATGGATCAAGGAGTAAAACACGAAAGGAAATCTCTCACGAAAATCTACTAGAAGAAAGTCTGTTAGAAAGCGTGCCCTATGCTGTTACAGGAAAGCATTTTTTTCCATCTTATTTCCAATATTAAAAGAAAAAAGTCCTCTTCCACTAACTAATGTGCTAAAATATCCACTAAACTAATTTTCCTACATTGTTCTGAAGGATGAAGAATTACTTGAGGTCAGCAGACTGTCCCCTCCACAGAAGACACAGGGACAGCCCTTAGCACTGCCCCAAGCCCAGTGCTCTCCCATCAGAAATCTGCTCCAGCACATTTAAAAATGGACAACAAGCAGCTGTTCTGTACCCTCCAGACAGTGCATCACAGTCCCCAGTGCCTGCAAATCTCCTGCCTCCACAGAGCAGCATCCTGCAAGTGACCTGGAAGTAACACCTGGGAACCTACTGCTGATCACTAGTTGAGTGAGTTTAATGGAGACACAGCATGCTCAGACCACCCCTGAATCGCCAAAGCTTCCAGGGAGAAGTGAAGCCTTCCAGAAAATTCACGGAGCTGATTGGTACAGAGAACATGGCCATGGACACTATCATTAGAGGAATTCTCTGGATCAGGACATAACACATCAGAGATTTTCTTCACTATGAGTCCAAGGAACTCAAAGAAATGTCAGAAAGTTCTTAAGAACTGATAAAAAGAGTGACAAACTGCAAACCTCAAGTGGCTTCAGCCAGGCACTCTCAAGAGCTCCCTAAATCCTTTGTGCCTGATGGCCAAAGGACAGAAGAGGATGGGATACTTCAGGCTGAGGCACAGTGTGACAGGAAACCCTCTGAGCTGTTGTTTCCAATGATTTCAGCTGGTTTTATGCTCTTCTCTACAGAAAGAAATCAGAATAAATAAAATCCTCCTCTCACTGAGATGTTGGTTGATCACAGAGTTGTTGTGGATCGTGTGCACTGGTAATGGAAACGAGTGCTGTGCCCTTCTCAGGGCACAACACACAGCACAGGAGCTGAGCCCAGGCCAGCACTGGAGCCTGCTCAGGAGACAACTTCCTCTGCTCTTAGAAACATTATTCTGGCTAAACTTCCAGTTGTAAGAAACAAAGTTTAAAAAGGTTGTGGTTCAGACTGGATATTACAGACCCTTCCTGAATGTAGAAAAAAAATGCATTGTTTTATGGAATATTTCTGATGAGAAACATGGCTGCTTTGACCAAACAAAGCGTTCCACTTGGATTAAAGCATTTGCCCAACTTCACCTTGGCACTGTGCACCTTTTCTTGTTACAAATGCAGTTCCACACAGAACTAGATTTTAGTGGCTCACTCTGGTTCCCTTCATTACTTACTCAGGAACAAAGTCTCCACGGAACACAGTGAAATTTGGAAATTGCATACAAAATTTAATTTCTGAGAGCAAGGCCATAAATATTCTATTAAGAGAGAATTACAGGTTTTATGATATCAAAAAATTAATTCAAATGGCACTGAATTAAATAGGAAAATGAGTATTAAGTAGTGAATGCAACAATTATTTCATAAGATTATTCCTACATTTTCAGAGTGAGAACAGGTATACTGGCACTGTAATTTACCTGTAGAAATCAGAAGACAGGACTGTAACCTTTATGCCTACCAGGAAGTCATTCCAAAGCTTTGTTATTCTGACAGCTTGATTTCCATACTAATTTTTTTATCAAATCCTTTAATTTCCATTCTTAAGTTTCTTGTTTTTTCTCTTCAATTATAAAAAAAAAAATCCCTTTTTGAAGTACAGATAAGCTTTAATAAGTACAATTAAGACAGACTACACATTTTCATGAGCACCTTCTACAACAGCACTGACACTTCTCTACCTCACACACAGAATCCCAGACTGGTTTGGGTTGGAAGGGACCTCAAAGCTCAGCTTGTTCCACCTCCTGCCATGGAGAGGGACACCTATCCCAGGTTGCTCCAACCTGGCCTTGGACACTTCTGGGGATGGGGCAGCCACAGCTTCTCTGTGGTAACCTGTGCCAGGACCTCCCCGTCTTCACAGGGAAGAATTTCTTCCCAATATCCCATCTATCCCTGCCCTATGTCAGTGGAAAACCATTTCCCCCTTGTCTTGTCCCTCCATCCCTTGTCCCCAGTCCCTTTCCAGCTCTCCTGGAGCCCCTTTAGGCACTGGAAAGGGCTCTAAGGTCTCTCCAGAGCCTTCTCTTCTCCAGGTGAACATCCCCAGCTCTCCCAGCCTGGCTCCAGAGCAGAGGGGCTCCAGCCCTCAGACTGTCACCACGGCCTTCTCTGGACTCTCTCCAGCAGCTCTGAGTCCTCCTTTTGTTGGGGGCCCTAG